AGATGAAAATGGCATGAAATGTAAATGCTAAAAGTAAATGGTACATAAAGCATAAAGTAAAACAAGTCAATAATTAGTGGTTAGTTGGATGACCATCTCGAAGCTTGCATTTGGAACTCATTAGAGGATTGGTAGAACCAAAGCCTCCACACAACAAGTTGCATTTGCTTTTTGTCAAGTATATCATCCATTTGGAATCCTCATAATAACCATTTAATGATCAACGATGTTTAAGTGATCTGCGTTGACCAAAGGTGTTGTAGATCCATTAGAGGATTGGTAGAACAAAAGCCTCCACACACTGAATCTCAAAGTTATTGGATCAAAGAGATCAAATTAACATACTTGGGCTTGCAAACATAAGTTTGGGCCACGAATGATCATTTATTCGAATCAGGACAAAATTTAGCGCTATGTTAAGCAATTGTAAGTGGACTTATATAGAAGTCGCACCTATTTTGAGACCGGTCAATAGCAATCTATGCACCATTCATTTTGAGACATGATATAGAGATCATACTCCAACAAGATCTAGTGCAATAAGAAGGGGATGAGATGAAGAGGGATGGGGAAAAAATATACAAACCACATTTGAATTAAATTTTAATCAAACTATTATTAAAATCATTCATCCATTTTTGTGGAGTTAAACTCAACACCATGGATCCAATGATGTTAATAAAGTTCATGATCCAAAACCTAACCCAAGATCAGCCAGAAAATAGTCACAAAATAATATCACATTTTAATATACATAAAAGGGTTTTAAAATAATGTTTAAAAATAGAAAATAAAGACAAAAATATCAACTATGTTCAAATTAATCAAGAAATAAAAAGTAAGACCATAGAAAAATCAGAAAAAGGCTCGAATAATTTTACAAATTTTTTGGTAATTTTTTGAAGTCAGAAATTATTTTTAAAATTAAAATAAATGGGTAAAATAAACAAAAAAAATGGTAAAAATAGTAAAGTCAGAAACAAAAATAAAATAAGGTTACCAATATTTGTCACAATATCATTAGATCATTCTGTAATTTTTTCAGAATTTTAAAATGTATAAAAGTATTTTTAAACATTTAAAACTAATCAAATAAGTGTAAAATTTATAAAAAATACCAAAACACAAAATTAAATTGTGAAAAAATAAAAATCAGAAAGAGAATAATCAAAAATATTTTTCATAATTTTTTCAGATTTTTTAGACTAAAAATGAATTTTCTATGATTTTTTGAAATTTAAAACAATTAAAATATAAAAATCAAAAAAAGAAAATAAAAGTAAAATATGTGGACCATTGAATGAGAGTCAAAATGCGTTAGTAATCAAATCCAAGGGATCTGGCGCGCTGTGCATATCATGGTCATTAGTGAATATTGTACAGAATCATTAATTAAATCAGGATTTGAAAAATACAGATGGCGCGCCTTCATTGGTTGGAAGATGACACGTTGGTCATCTTCAACCTCCAGCCATCATGAATTGCAGGTCTCTCAAATAGTAAAATCAGAAGTTCAGACCTATGCCATTCGCTTCGTCTCTTCAAGACGAAGACAACCACACCCTCGCGCCAAATTTATATTAACTGTAGCTCAAGCAATTTAGAAGGAAAATTTTGAAAAGGGATTTGAAATTTCATGGTCAAAATGTGTTTCTAGTAAAAGGTAAGTGTTGCGACTAGAACCAAGGCAATGAGAGCAACACAATGATATCAGAGTTTCGAAGAATTGATGAAGGAATCTACCTATTGAAGTTGAGTTGTAGAGCTCTGAAACTGGACTTCTATGGAGCAGTATAAGGCACGATTCTTGAATGTAATTATGTGGTTAGCTTCACGGAAGATCAAGGAAGGTGATTTGATGGAAAAATTGGATTGAGAAAGGCTCGAGAATGGATATTGAAGTTACAAAAAATTAAGTTATAGAGCAAGTTTGGCAGGGTGATTCTGGCTATCCAAGCTTGGGAAAATGAATGGGATAGTTCATGTATTTATAGGAGAAGTAAATGGGATCAAAAGGAAGAGTGAATGATGTGTTTTGGAGGGAATTCGTGCAAACTTGATGCACGAGTGAAGTGTGATCCAAACTTCACCAAAACTCATCCAATTCTTGCGTTTTGATGCACTAATCCACTTGGGAAAGTTGGCTAATCATGTTTAGACCCAAAACGCGTGTTAATTTGAGGGTTAGAGGTTGTAATATGAAATTCAAATTCTGACTTACAAGGAAACTTCAATTCCAAGTTACCACTTTTGAAACTATGGCATTCTCACCTCAAGGGGTCTTAAGGCATGATTCTTGATGCTTTAGAAAGATGAGGTTACAAGCTTTTCAATGGAAAAATAGTGGAGTTAAATGGATGCTTGAACTAAAAGTTCTATTGAGTCAAAGTTGAAGAAAAAGGATTGACTTTCCATACTTAGAAATATTTCAAAATCTTCATAAAAAATGTCCTATAATGTCTTGCATCCAAACATGGTCTTCCACTTGAAATTTTCTCTTGATCAAAAAAGATGGCATGAAGTATATTTATTAATATATTCGGCAATTTATTATTCGGTCCGATAATTATTTATTCAGACCGATATTTATTTATTCGGGCTTATTTAGTTTATTTGAGTTTTTATTATATTAAGTTGCAAGACTAGATTTAAGAGTGTAGTGTTAATTGGGGTATATTAGTAATTATCCCATGTCTTGAATCAAAACAAAACCAAGGCACATATGTAGTAGTAGTTAGTATATAGTAGTAGTAGTTAGTGTGTTGGTTTTGTATCAAGAAAAGAAAATAGAAACATAGAGTGAAAGAGAGAAAAAAGGGGTTTTTGGTGTGAAGTGAGAAAAAAAGATTATTTTATTCGGTCCGGTAATTATTTTATTCGGTCCGATAATTATTTTATTCAGTCCGGTAATTATTATATTTTGTCCGGTAATTATTTTATTCAGTCCGGTGATTATTTTATTCGGTCTGGTAATTATTTTATTCAGTCCGGTAATTATTTTATTCGGTCTGGTAATTATTTTATTCAGTCCGGTAATTATTTTATTCGGTCCGGTAATTATTTTATTCAGTCTGATAATTATTTTATTCAGTCTGGCAATCATTTTATTCAGTCCGGTAATTATTTTATTCGGTCCGATAATTATTTTATTCAGTCCGATAATTATTTTTTTCGGTCCGGTAATTATTTTTTTGGGCTTATTTGGTTAAGTTGGTTTTTTTTAAATTATATTAAGGGTGTGTGACCAAGAGGGGTTATTAAGTGGCATGTCTTATACCAAAACCAAATAAAACAAGTACATGAAGTGGGTGGAGGTTAGTGTGTGGTTTTGTAGAAAAATAGAAAAGAAGTAGTAGTCTTATATGTGTGGTTAGTGAGTGGTAGTGTTATCAGAAAACAAAACAGAAATATAACCTAGAAAGAGAGAAAAGAGAAAGTTGGTGTGAAGAGAAGAACAAAAACAAGAACAAGCTAGATTTGTGGTTTGAAGAGGTGATTCAAGAGGAAATTTCAAAGCTTGCTAGAATCAAAAGCTAGAGGTAAGGGGTTTGGTAATTTCTATCCTATAAATAGATTAATGATAGATTTTATATGAGTTAGAGTTGTGAAGATTTGGGTGTTTTTCTTAAAATTTCTTGGTTTAATTTGATGTTTGAATCGTGATAATGAAAATATATTAGTTGTTGTTTGGTTAGTGGTGTGTGCATTTTTCTTTTTATGTGTCTTTCCTTGCATTTGTTTTGTTCTGGTAAATTGTGAGTTTAACAGAAAATTTATAACAAGGAAAATTATATTCTCAGTATCTGTTAGCCTCCTGTGTCAGTTTAGGAAAAATTATGCAGGCAACAGGTTACTGATATAATAGAAGAACATATTTATTTATGAAATGAAATATTATGTTTATAATAATAAATATATTGGGTTTAATAGGTAATTTGGGTAACTGGTAAATGATGAAAACGAGTCCGATTTAGACGGTTCGAGTTGCGTTTCGGCGACTCGGTTGTGATATTTACTGATGTGGTTTTCACGCCAATTTAACCGGTAATAGAGGAATAATTTTATAATAGTAACTGGTGGATTTAATCAGACAAACCGAGTGACCGGTAAGGAACTGAATTAAGTCTGAATTAACCAGTTTGAGCCGTTGTTGTGACGATATGATTTAGTAGGAAATATTGGAATTAAATGGTGAATTCGGGTGACCGGTAACGGATAGAATTATGTCCAAATTGATCGATTCGAGTTGCGTTTTGGAGACTCGGTTGTGGTGTTTATTAATAAGTTTAATACCTATTATTTCGGGATGATTTTTATGACGAGTATATTTTGGTAAATATTAATCCGTAACCGGAATTAATTGAATTGTGAATATTGTTGATTAATGCTTTCAATTTGTGAATGCATATTTTTGTTGATGATGATTTGCATAACGTAAAATGTGATGATGTTAATGACGATGTTTTACCTCCGATGTTTGGTAAATTTAATGACAAGGGCCTATGCCATTTTGATGATTATGACGATGTTGATGTGTTGTTGTGTGTATGTGTTGTCTTTTGTCGAGTCGCATATATTGCATAAATGACGAGGGCTTTTTCCAAAATGACGAGGGCTTTAGCCAATGTTCCTAATTACGAACAAAATGTGTTGGTACCACATGCATACATAGTCGAGTCACATTGTGTCAGCTATGTTTCTTTGAGTTTATTGGTTATGTGTTGTTTTATGATGTTTTATGATGATTATGATGATTTATGTGGTGATGATAAAGTGTTGTTATATATAAATTAAATTAGTGATCAAAGTGTGTGAGATTTGTATATATGTTGAATATTACTTACTATCGACATCTCTTTATAATTTCGAAACTATATATTATTTATCATCTCTTTATTTACATGATTTGAATTATCTCACCCTTTACTTGTTTCGCCATTACCTTTATATTGGTAACGTGCAGGTGATCCGCGTTGATGAGGTGGATTTAGCTTGAGTCATTACTTTTTGAGTCGCTCTGCTTTGATAGCATAACACTCGGGATGAGCGCTTTTGTTGTTTTGATTAGGATAGCATACTTGTTTATCCTGATAATTATGTGGATTATGTTTATAATATGACATGATTATTTTGTTGATGTATATGCTTTTATATGGCATAGACGATGCTGTATCAGCTTCCGTGTGCATATTTATATGCTTATTTGATGTATGATGACATGTTCGGTATATCCGACTTTTGATTATTTGATGGTGCATTTTATTGCAAAGTGGAAACCATGGATATGTGATGCCTCAATTTATTTATGAAATTTTATTACTCTGATTCTTATTATTAATTCCGACGGGTAGAATTGGGGTGTTACAAAAACTCTTTGGAACTTTTGAAGTGATTTATTGATAACCCTTTGAAGAGAAGGATGTCTTTGGAATCATTCAAAAATACCAAAAGGTGAGCAAGATATGCTCCTTCGAAGTTCAAAACCCTAGCTCCTAGATCAAGAAAATACTTTGAAGAACTTTGACAAGCTTGAACAAACTTCTTGTACCAATATTCTTGCTTTGTGAATAGAAGTTGTTGAGGATGATAATAAGGATTTATAGCTACCAAAACCACTTCCATATCTTGAAATTTGAGAGAAATATGCTCTTGTGACCAATGGGAACAAAACCTTGTCCAAACATGACAAGTTCTCCAATCAAAACCCCTTGTACTTTTGAGTCAAATCTAATAACCTTGAAATGTGATGAGCCAAAGCAACCTTGCCATGCCAATCCTTCCAAAATCAATCCAATGGTGAGGTTTGAACTTCTCAAGCTTTATTGACTAGGGCATGAAAATAAACTCATGAACCCATGGAGTAACTTGTTAAATCTCATTGCCCTTACCTAAATGGATAACAAACAAGACAAGCCAACATTGCATTTTATTAGTTAAATGAAGAAATCAAAACAATATTCATGATCACAAAAGGAACATAAGTCAAGGTGCTTGGTAATCCCTCAAAAGGAGAAAAACTCAAAGTAGGGAGGGGAACCAAGAATCCTAGTGTAATCTTGTTGTGAATAAACCAACATGGTATGATGAAGGGATCTTAGGGGGGAAAATTGGGGTACAACAATGATATTACTGTGTAAAATTGTTACATCAAAACATATGGTTTTGTCATCATTAAAAAGGGGGAGATTGTTAGAACAAGATTTGGATTCTACAATTGATCTCTGGATTTTAATGATAACAACATATATTTTATATGTAAACAATTTTGTTTCTAATAAGATTCTTGAGTGTGCAAATAAGAAATTCTAATTGATTCACGACTATTTTCTGGAGAATCAAAAATACGTCAAGCACATCAGAAAGACTGTTCACATCCACTTATGAAGAAACATTAGTAGTTCGGAAGAATGTTGAATATTCACTAGAAAGATGATCATGTGTCCACTTCTGAACAAGCTGCTGCTACATAAGTCACAAGTCACAAGAAGAAATAATTTTTAATAGAGCTATTGCTCAAAGATCATAAAACAAGATTACACGAGAAGAAAGATTTTTTGACAAACTGTTGCTTTAAGATCAGAAATTGGATTGCACAAGAAACAAGCTTTAAACGCAAAGATCAGAAGCCAAGATTTGCTCATCAGAAAAGTTGTTGCTTATAATTCTGAAGACAAAGTCAAGATTCTGAAGACTGGAATAATTCATGGAATACACTCATTTCTAATCAACATAATATAGTCCATTAGAAGACAAGTATCATCAGAAACACCATTGCACTTATCAGAAGAACTATTGTGACCATTTTTAAAGAAACATCAGCAATTCTAAGGAATGCTGAATGTTCATCAGAAAGGAAATCAAATGAGTTCTAAAAAAAGCACCTCTCTTAGATCAGAAATCAATACGCTTTTAGAGAAAGATAGAGAGAGAGAGAGAGAGAGAGAGAGAGAGAGAGAGAGAGAGAGAGAGAGAGAGAGAGAGAGATTTTGATCAGAAACAAAGAAGTTGCTAACACAAGCTTTTGCTTCCAGCTCAGCATCAGAATCCAAGATTAGAAGTCAAGAATAAAATATCAGATCAAAAAGTATGAACCAAAATTTCAAATGTACTGACATAAGCTTCTGCTTCAGAAATCAGACATCATACATGCAACTCGAAAAATTTGTTTTAAAGATCAGATCAAGACATATAGATCAGAAAAGCTTTCGTTCAGAAACAAAGAAGTTGTTTCTCAGATAAGTCGTTGCTTATATATCTGAAGACAATATTCAACAATTTGAAAGACTCTGACTCTACAATAATGAAGCATCTTTGGATCAATATCATTCATCATATAAGAATCAATCCAGCAAAGATGAAAGGAACAAAGATCAGAAAGAGATATCTTCCAAGCTTACTACTTTAAGTCAGAAGTAAAACATCAGAAGATATGGTTCAAAGAAACTTAGCCACGAAGAATATAGTACAGACAATACGCTTCAAATTCTACTACATGCTTACATGTTGTACTATTTTGTCTGCCACAATGAAATGCTAGCGTTACTGTAGTTGGCAACTGAAAATGACGTTTCTACTACATACAGTCTATTTTTCAAGTCTATATAAATAGGCCTCAACAATATTTGAAGATCGACGAATTACTGAACATTATCAAGCTTGAATCAAATTGTTGAAATATTGAAAAACATCAAGAGAAAAGAATAATCATTATTCAAATATTTATTCACAAATATTCTTCTAGAGAAATATCAAGAACATAAGAGTTGTTACTCATTATTGTGTTAAGATATTAGGGATTAAACACAAAGAGTTATTGCTCATTATTTGTGTTTATCTTCAAGCTCTCAATACAAAGAGTTGTTGCTCATTATTTATATTAGAGACTTTTGCTTTTCATTGTTGTGTTAATCTACTTTTTAGAAACAAACATTGTAAACAAAGTTGATTGTAATTATCTCAAGTAACTAGATTGTTAGTCTGTAGACTTGAGAGGGCTAAGGTGTCTGTTAAGACTCTTAGACAATTGTTGTTAGTCACCGGCGGGTAGTCCGTGCATCTGTAATTTGTTGAGATTAGTGGATTAAGTCTTTGTTGAAGGCGAAATCACATTGGCGGGTAGACAAGAGTAACTTTATTAAAGTTGAACTTGTATAAACAAACAAATTATTTTATTCTTTTCTTAATTTTATTCTTTCTGATTAGTTTACAAAATAATTTTTTTTAAAAAGTTGATCTCATGCAGAAGACGGCCAACACTTTCTTAAGTCAGCCTACACTTATCATGTTGGCATTTCTCAACATATTCAACGAGCGTAAACTCATTTGGCACAATACAATTCCTCCTTCAACTTCTCTACCATTTTGGAGACTCAATCATGGAAAGTTGCAAAGTAATAACATATTAAAACAAAGAGGTGTGTATATGTTATAAGTTTGTAATTTGTAAATGAATAAGGATAACTCTTTGCATAGCTTATTTTTAGAGTGCACGTATGCTCTAAGTCTCCGGAACTTGTTAGATAACTTCATCAACATCCACCCTATGATCATGTCTTTGGAGGATTGTTGGGTTATGGTGATGGAAGATTGAGCCTCTAAGCACTCTAGGAATATTTTACTGTCACCCATTAAAAATACAATCAATGAAATTTGGAAAACTTGAAACAATATTAGATTAAATGGTATGACTCCTAAATGGTAAACAACTCTTGTTGCAACTCTCAAGTTTCTTTATCTAAGAGCATAATCCTAAATGGTATGGTTAGGAATCACATTGCTAACCATATTAGTAATTTTAACTGCTTTTTGCTGAACTTATAGGTGTCATCCTAGCCATGGAACATCCCATCTCCTCTAAGGAGAACCTTTTTTTGGTTGAAAATTGATTTAATGTTAGTGGTTAGAGCAATTTCAAAGTCAACTTTGATTCATTGAAAGATAAGAAACAGGTGGACAATTGCATCATTAGTCTCAAGTCAAGAAATTTTCTAGGCTCCAACATCTGTAAAGATGGTAACAAATCCGTCTAACTAACTATAAGCCTAATATCTAGAAAGTAGACTTGATAGAATTGTATCCACATCAATGTAGTTATAGAATTAGATAAGCTATTTTGACATACATTAGCTACACCCACACCGTATATGAATACACTTCCAATTTTTTTATCATTAATTTCTCTTTCCTTTTTTCTAATCAAAAGAAAAAGTGAGACTTATTTGCATGTATTTTTATACGGTGTTTAATTTATGTGTCACTTTTTGGTGTCCATATATCAATTCTTATAGAATTTAATAGAAACATGCTAAGTATTCCTTATGTTAGAGGTATTAACTTTTGAGGTTTTTGTCTAATTCCCTAATTTTCTACCTATTCCTAGAGTGCTTAGGGCTCTTTTCCATTAATGTTCAAAAAAATCGCCCAACTTTATTTAATTAATGAACCAAACTGAATTGAAGTTAAAATAACCGAATCATTATCAATTATTATTAATAGTTAGTGAATCAAACTTATATTTTATTAATAGTTTTAAAACTGAACCGTTAAATAATTAATCAATCTTAAAATAATACTGAATTGAACCGTTGTTATTTAAATTTAAAATAAAAATTTTTTAAAATAAAAAAAAAGTTGATTTTTTCGAAAATCAAAAAGTCAAATTATTCAAGAAAAAGTCAATTTTTTCGAAAATAAAAAGCAAGTCAATTTTTTCAAAAATCAAAAAGTCAATTTTTTTGAAAATCAAAAAATCGATTTTTTCAAAACTTAAAAAATCGGTTTTTTTCGGAAAAAAAAAAAGTCAATTTTTTTGAAAATAAAAATATAGATTTTTCGAAAATCAAAAACTCGATTTTTTCGAAAATTAAAAAAATTGATTTTATTTAAATCAAAATTTCAAATTTTTTGAAAATCAAAAAGTCGATTTTTTCGAAAAATAAAAAAAAGTCGATTTTTTTGAAAATAAAAAACTCAATTTTTTTGAAAATCAAAAAAGTCAGTTTTTTCGAATATCAAAAAAGTCAATTTTTAAAAAAATAAAAAAGTCGGTTTTTTCGAAACAAAAAAAAATGATTTTTCGAAAAAAAAAAAATTTAAAAAAATCAAAAAGTCGGTTTTTTTTTAAAATAAAAAAAAAATCGATTTTTTTGAATATGAATAACTCGCCTTTTCCAAAAATACAAAAATTCAATTTTTCCAAAAATCAAAAAGTCAAAATTTCCGAGAATCAAAAAGTCAATTTTTAAAAAAAAAAATCGTT